GTGGTGTAGCGCGAGTAGTCGTCAACAACGATCAGGAAGTACCTCTCCTGACCCTGACCACGGACGCGGGCTGGGCCCCACACGTCCATGTGGAGCGTCTGCAAAGGAGCAGTCGTCGGGGGAAACGAGGAGGAGTGAGGAGCGGCGCGCTGCCGCCCCTCGACACAGGGAAGACAGGGAGGAGCGGGCAAGGGTGGGAGGGGAGGGAGGACCCTGGGAAGACCAGAGACAAGGTACCGGGAGTGCATGGCACGAAGGCGCTGCACAGACGGGTGGCCCAGTCGGTGGTGCCAGAGGACAGTCTCGTGCGCTAGAGAGCGACACGAGCAGGGGGCGGACAGCTGACCTGACGCGGACGCAGACGCAGACGCAGCGACCTGAGGGGGGGCAGTAGTCAGTGTATACAGATCCGACCCCGGCTGCCGGGTGAAGGTAGCCAAGTGGCGGCCTGTACGGGCACACGTGCAGTGTGTGACACGCTCGTAGGCAGGGGTGAACTGGTGAACACCCGCGTCCTGTAGTGCACAACCTGCCACCAAGTTCGTAGAGAACGAGGGGAGGTGGAGACCTGACAGTGTGCCCGACGGGACCGCAGGACAGGGAAGGACAGTAGAGGAGGTCGCAAGGACCGGACCCCCAGAGGGGTCAGCGAGGGAGACAGCAACTGGCCGAGCAAGGGGCTCAAGGGCAGTGCGGTCACGAAAGAAACAGCGAGAGGCACTTGAATCCAGTGTGAAGGTGTGCAGTGCTGTAGTCGACACAGTACTAGGGGGGGCAGACGTACACGCACCTAGAGCAGCAGCCTCACCAGCACCTGGGGTAGCGGACACGCGAGTACCTGGAGCGGCAGACGCACTAGTCCTAATGCCCGGGTCGGGCGGGACACTCAGGTACTCAGCACCCTCTCCACTAGTAGACATCACATACATGGCAGTGAGAATAGCATCAAAGTCTAGAGCATAAATATCAATCCCCTTCTTCAGGAGATCAACCCAGCGGGGCAGCTCAGTGGCCTGAGGGAACTGAACACGCCAAGCGTCGTTCAGACGAGCGAAGCAACGCTGTGTGGCGTGTGGTCCCCCACACGGCTGGCCAGTGCGGTCACCAGTGCGAATGACGTACGTGCAGCTAAGGCCACCCCCCCCCCCCCCCGTGCTGAGAGTACCACTCACGGACCTCCTGGGGCGACGGAGTGTGCTGCTGGCCCTGGCCACCGCCAGTGCCTCCACGACCACCACCGCCGCTACCACCTCCTCGACCACCCCAACCCCGGCCGCTGCCTCGTCCACTGCCACCCCCACCACCTCCTCAGCCCCGGCCACCTCCCCCGCCGCTGCCGCCACCCCCCCCACTGCTGCCACCTCCCCCACCCGCGCCACCCCCCCCGCCACCACCACCTCCCCCACCACCGCCACCCCCGCTTTCACCACCACCGCCCTTGCCCCCCTTGCCCTTGCTGCTGCGGCGCCCACCCGAAGCAGACGCAGTCCCGACCTTCTCAGCACCAAGGAGGTCGACAGCAGCAGCAGAGGCGACAGAGGGAAGAAGGGGGGAGGGAGAACACCCCTCAAAGAACGGGGTACGGGGGTCACCGCGAGAGGCACCTACAGCGACTATGCTAGCCTCAGCTGCAAGCAGTTCCTTCTCGAGGAGGGCAATGGTGAGCTCGGTGGGGCAGCGAGCTAGGAAGTGGTCCCTGACTGAGCGCAGAGTGTCAGGGAGGCGCGTGACTAGGTGGTAGAGAGTGAGCCAGAGCGGGGGTGGGTTCTTGGCAAGGAACTCATCAGGCATAGCGGCGCGGAAGCGAGCCTCACTGGTGCGGAGGTGGGTAATGAGATCAGCGACAGTGTGGAAGGAAGCTAGGTCGGGGAACAGGTAGGGAAGAGAGAGACGGCCTAGAGCGGCAGAGGCCGGCGAGGAGTAGCGGGCAACGACAGCAGTGTACAGTGCCTGTGCAGTCTTGTGCTGCCCAAAGTGCTCGCGCTCATCTATCGGCAGAGAGTTGCGAATAGCGAAGCGAGTATGGGCGTCACGAGTCTGCCACTGTGAGCGGGCAGTGCTGTCAGCAGTAGCAGCAAGAGCAGTAGCGTGGCCTAAGGCATGATCGTACAACGAGATGTCTTCCTTGGCAGTGAGCTGTAGGAAGAGGTGTAGGTCATCAAGCCAGGTGTCGAACTTCACTGGGCGGCCCTCAGTATCGAAGGCTAGGACAGGAGGGCTAGCCATGGTAGCAGCAGTAGGAAAAGCAGTAGGAGCAGTAGGGTAGGTAGGGCGGCGCGGCTCGGGACAGGTAGGGCGGCGCGGCTCGGTATAGGTAGGGCGGCGCGGCGCGGCTCGGTTCGGGCGGCTCGGGTCGGGCGGCGCGGCTCGGTTCGGGCGGCTCGGGTCGGTTAGGGCTGGCGGCTCGGGTCGGGCGGCTCGGTTCCGTTAGGGCTGGGCGGCTCGGGTCGGCTCGGTTCGGGCTGCTCGGTCTGGGTGGGGCCGTTCGGGGCCGCTAAGGGCGAGCGCGGGGAGCGGGTGGGGCCGTGAGGGACGAGCGCGGGGCCGACGTGGGTGCTAAGGGCGAGCGCGGGGCCGACGTGGGTGCTAAGGGCGAGCGCGGGGCCTATCGGGGCCGTGAGGGACGAGCGCGGGGCCGATCGGGGCCGTAAGGGACGAGCGCGGGGCCGACGTGGGCCTCTAAGGGCGAGCGCGGGGCCTATCGGGGCCGTGAGGGACGAGCGCGGGGCCGATCGGGGCCGGTAAGGACGAGCGCGGAGCCGACTCGTGCCTCTAGGGGTAAGCGCGGGGCCGATTCGGGGCCTCTAATAGCGAGCGCGGGGCCGACCGAGGCCTCTAGGTGCGAGAGCGCGGGGCCGACGGGGCCTCTAGGGGCGTGAAAGCCGAGGCGCCCTAGGGCGCAGGTAGGTAGGTAGGTAGTGGTGGGCCCTAAAAAAAATCGGTCCTAGGAAGGACCTGCTCTATACCATGTTGAACAAGAATGAATGAACTAAGAGTGAAATGAGTACAAGTATCAAAACCTAGGAATGTGTACCCCCTATAGGCTAACCCACTGTAGCCTAAACAACAACAACAACATATATAATGTTTGACAAATTCCTCTAGGCGTAGGGAAAAGCATTCAACCATCTGATTGTTATTGCATATTCGAGTGGCCCATGTTCAAACACACCTGCAGCTTTTTCGGCCTGGTTCTTGCGCAAAGAAAAGTTCGGCGCCTATGATTTCGGCCGTTTTTTGCCGACAAATGCCCAGAGAGCGTATGAATCCCTATAAGCGTAAGGAAAGGCATTCAGCAACCTGATTCTAATTGCATATTCCAGTGGCCCTTGTTCAAATACACCTATTAGAGCCTTTTCGGCCTGGTTCTTGCGCAATGAAAAGTTCGGCGCCAATGATTTCGGCCGTTTTTGCCGACAAATACTCAGAGAGCGCATGAATCGTTATTCGCGTAGGGAAAAGCATTTAACAACCTGATTGTTATTGCATATTCGAGTGGCCATGTTCAAATACATTTATTGGAGTCTTTTCGGCCTGGTTTCTTGCGCAAAGAAAAGTTCGCCGCCTATGATTTCGGCCGTTCTCGCCGAGAAATGCTAAGGGAGCGCATGACCCCTACAGGCGTAGGGAAGCATTCAACAGCCTGATTGTTATCGCATTTTCTGTCAGAATCCCAACCACTAGACCATTGGGATAAAGGGGCTTGTTTCAGTAGCGGGTCAGTGCGCCCATAACCTCCCAGGCGAACGCGCCTGTAACCCTCTCCAGGATCAATCGGGCATCCACAGTGCAGATCTACTGACACCCCTCCACACAAGGAGGCCTAGGACTAAGCACAGCGGCAACGGCCTACATGTGCATACACCGGGAATCGAACCCGAGACTGCTCTGATACCATGTCAGAATCCCAACCACTAGACCATTGGGATAAAAGGGCTTGTTTCAGTAGCGGGTCAGTGCGCCCATAACCCCCCGGGCAAACGCGCCTGTAACCCCCCCTAGGATCGATCGGGGATCTCACAGTGTAGCTCTACTGACACCCCCCCATACTGGGAGGCCCAGGACTGAGCACAGTGGCAACGGCCAACATGTGCATACACCGAGATTCGAACCCGAGATCGCTCTGATACCATGTCAGAATCCCAACCACTAGACCATTGGGATAAAAGAGCTTGTTTTAGTAGCGGGTCAGTGCGCCCATAACCCCCCAGGCGAACGCGCCTGTAACCCTCTCCAGGATCAATCGGGCATCCACAGTGCAGATCTACTGACATTTTCGAGTGGCCCATGTTCAGATATACCTATTGGAGCCTTTTCGGCCTGGTTCTTGCATAAAGAAAAGTTCGGCGCCTGTGATTTCGGCCGTTTTTTTCCGACAAATGCTCAGAGAGCGCATGAATTCCTATAGGCGTAGGGAAAAGCATTCAACAACCTGATTCTTATTACATATTCGAGTGGCCCATGTTCAAATACACCTATTAGAGTCTTCTCGGTCTGGTTCTTGCGCCAAGAAAAGTTCGGTGCCTATGATTTCGGCCGTTTTTGCCGACAAATGATCAGAGAGCGCATGAATCCCTATAGGTGTAGGGAAAAACATTAAAGCCAGCAGCTAAAATAGTGACCCCCCCCTTCTAGTTGGGTCCAACTTGAAAACGGAAGTTTTGGGAAAGTTGGAAGTTACGTGTGAAATTTTCTTTCAACACCAGAGTTTGCCTCAAAGTGAAGGGGGAACGATTGGATCATATTTATGAACTCTGATTGGTGACAACCTTTCTCGCACATACATGTGCGATTTTGGCGCAAGGCTGCACGACGTGCAAAGCTTCCAATCGTTCTAGTGAATGTACCAGTGAATGTACCAGAAGCTTTGCATGACGCAACGACACAAGCAGTTCCGACAACCCACACACATGCAACGAGAATGTTTAGGTGATCCAGAGCTAGTCGACCTGTGAGACCAGTGCAGCGAAGGACCTGCGGCCTGCTCTTTTAGAATAATATTAACAAGAGGAGGGGAGGGGACGGTAGTGAGGAATAACGACGGGAAAGATCAAGGGCGAGAGGAACAAGGACGGGAATGGAAGCGGAGATGGGAAGAGCGACGTTAGGGGAGCGGAGAGAGGAAGAAAGACGGGAGGGGAGCAGAGACACCGAGGGCGAAGAAAGGGGATGGGAGAACAACAAGAAGACGCGAAGGTAGGGGAGTTCTTGAGGGCGACGAGACGGGATGGAATAAAGGTACGCTGATCGAAAGGAAAGGCTGATGGCAATATCGTGGGGAAGGGAAGGGAGGGGCGATGGCGCGGGTAGAGAGGAGCGCGATGGCGACTACTCGAGAGCGTTTCGTGGTGCCGACAGTGACAGGAACCGTAACGATCGCGCGAGAGGCGAAAGAGCACTTCGCCGGAAGGCAAGCATATATATAACGCCGGGACAGAGCGAAGAAGAGAGCGAGGGCGATGGGAGAGAAGGCGACGGGAGAGAGGGCGACGGGAAGGGCGCGGAGAGAGAGAGCACGACGGGAAGGGAGGGGCGAGAGAGAGGGCGACGGGAAGGGAGCGGAGAGAGAGAGCGCGATGGGAAGGGAGGGGGGAGAGAGAGGGCGACGGGAAGGGAGGGGAGAGAGAGAGGGCGGTGGGAAGGGAGGCGACGGGAAGGGCGCGGATAGAGAGAGCGCGACGAGATGAGAGGGGCGAGAGAGAGGGCGACGAGAAGGGCGCGGAGAGAGAGAGCGCGATGGGAAGGGAGGGGCGAGAGAGAGGGCGACGGGAAGGGAGGGGAGAGAGAGAGCGCGATGGGAAGGGAGGCGACGGGAAGGGCGCGGATAGAGAGAGCGCGACGAGATGAGAGGGGCGAGAGAGGGGGCGACGAGAAGGGCGCGGAGAGAGAGAGCGCGACGGGAATGGAGGGGCGAGAGAGAGGGCGACAGGACAGGAGGGGAGAGCTCGTAAGCGATGGGACGAAATGGGAAAAACGGGGTGGGAGACGAGAGAATGTTTCGAGGCAAGCGCGAATGCGAAGAGGTGGGTGATGAGCGGGGGGGGACGGAATAAGGCCGCCGCGAGGGCAATTCCACGCGAATGTGAAGGTGATGAGCTGAGCGACGAAAGGGCGTTTCGGCGGCGAGCGCGTTCAACCGAAAAATCTCGAGGCAAGTATCGCTACAAGACGTGTAAGATCCCTCGTCACTAGGCCACGAATAGAAGGATGTGGATTAAATCTATAAAAATGGTAGTTGCCTAGGCAAAAATGCCTACGTTTTCAGCTATTCTAAGCGTGGCTAAACTAGAGACTAGAGTGGAAAGAAGTAGTGGAACCCAGGTCCAACTTGAAGTTGGAGTTGGGCCCAACGATCGCAATGATCGCCGTACAGCCGTCGTGCGGGTGCATCATGTTGAATGCGACTCCTTGTGTAAGGCCTAGAAATTTCGTTTTTGGCGGGAGCCAATCAAATGGGTTCGATCTGCACACACGAAATGTTTGAAACAGTGCTTTGCAAACCCACCCGGGAAGATCCTTTCAAGCTGGGACGGGGTTCACTATTCTATATTTCGGTTTTAAACAACCTGATTGTTATTGCATATTCGGGTGGCCCATGTTCAAATACACATAGTATATATTTTTCATCTTGGTTTATGCATAAAGAAAAGTTCGACGCCTATCATTTTGATTGGTTTTGCTGAGGGTAGTTTTTAAGCCCATTGGACAATCAAACTCGTTTAGGCATTTGAATATAAACTGTAAACATACACTTAATGCATGAACCCACTTTGGTTTGTTATAAACATGCACAAGCAGCTTTACAACCACACGCAGCAGCGTCTGTACAAGTAGTGAGGGTGGCGCCTCGAAAGAGGACGATGAGATGAGCCTGAAGCAGATCCCATCAACAGCAGGCAAGGCATTTGCCTTCCCACGAGCAGCAAAGGGAGCAGCTTAGGTGGTAGGCGATGGTGGGAGGACGGAAGCAGCCACATGGGGCGACCAGCAATAGCAGTGCTTGAGAGAAGGGAGAACAGTGGGTGGTTATGACGGGCAGATGAGGTTATGACAAGCATGGTGTCAGAAGTAGGAGGGCGATGACTCTGAGGAGCGTGAGAGCCAGTACACAAGGCCACTGCAGGGGAGAGGAGGAGGGGAGACAGGGGCGAGTAAGCAGAAAGGTGGGTGGTTGAAGCAGAGTGTATGCGGGCAGATAAGGGGCAGATGACAGATAATGAATCCGCACAGCTGGCGATGATGAAAGCGCATTGGAAGACCCATGACAGGCCCCTGGCAGCACACACGCACCTGGCAGCACGCATGCACCTGGCAGCACACACGCACCTGGCAGCACACACGCACCTGGCAGCACACACGCACCTGGCAGCACACACGCACCTGGCAGCACACACGCACGCACCTGGCGATGCTGACAGGCAGATGACAGCGTGCGCACCTGGCGATGATGAAGGCGCACCTGGCGATGATGAAGGCGCACCTGGCGATGATGAAGGCGCACCTGGCGATGATGAAGGCGCACACCTGGCGATGATGAAGGCGCACCTGGCGATGATGAAGGCGCACACCTGGCGATGATGAAGGCGCACCTGGCGATGATGAAGGCGCACACCTGGCGATGATGAAGGCGCACACCTGGCGATGATGAAGGCGCACACCTGGCGATGATGAAGGCGCACACCTGGCGATGATGAAGGCGCACACCTGGCGATGATGAAGGCGCACACCTGGCGATGATGAAGGCGCACACCTGGCGATGATGAAGGCGCACACCTGGCGATGATGAAGGCGCACCTGGCGATGATGAAGGCGCACACCTGGCGATGATGAAGGCGCACACCTGGCGATGATGAAGGCGCACACCTGGCGATGATGAAGGCGCACACCTGGCGATGATGAAGGCGCACACCTGGCGATGATGAAGGCGCACACCTGGCGATGATGAAGGCGCACACCTGGCGATGATGAAGGCGCACACCTGGCGATGATGAAGGCGCACACCTGGCGATGATGAAGGCGCACACCTGGCGATGATGAAGGCGCACCTGGCGATGATGAAGGCGCACCTGGCGATGATGAAGGCGCACCTGGCGATGATGAAGGCGCACACCTGGCGATGATGAAGGCGCACACCTGGCGATGATGAAGGCGCACACCTGGCGATGATGAAGGCGCACACCTGGCGATGATGAAGGCGCACACCTGGCGATGATGAAGGCGCACTGGAAGACGCCGGCAGCGCCGGGCCACGAGGACGTGCTGGGCGGCGACGCGTCCTTTATGAGCATCCCCGCCGCCCCCGCCAGCGATGCAAAGGCGATGACGTACGCCAGGAACAGCCACGTGCGCGACCTGCTCGGGCGGGGGAAGCGGAGGGGGAGGGCGGTGGGGGAGGGGGACGGGGGAGAACGATTTGCACTTGTGGTGTGATGCCAGATTGGGGCCAGAGTCGCTTGAGAAGGGGGGGAGGAGGAAGGAGCGTGGGTGAGCGGTGCAGGGCCGGGAAATGAAAGCACAAGGAGAGGAGGGGAAGAGTGGGAGAGAGAGCATGGTGCAGAGAGGGCAGCGGAGTGGGCGGCAGGGTGAGGAGGAGCGCAGGAGGCGAGGGGACCAGGGCAGGGCGGGGTAGGAGGGGACCTGCAGCCGGCGCCGTCGTCGTAGGGCGAGTAGTCATGCAGCTCGTCGCGGTGCACAGCGTTAAACATCATCGCCGCCACTGTAGCGAATATGCCTGTAACGAGGCGATAGGGGTAAAGGGAGGAAACTTTTGAGGCGTCTCCAAGCTCGTCGCGGTGCACGGCGGCGAACATCACCGCCACTGTAGCGAATATGCCTGTAACGAACCCCATGGTTGCGGAGGGCGGGGGACCAAAAGAGGAACGGGGAAAAGACGGGCTGGTGGGAAAAGGGAATGTGGAATTGGATGCAGTCACGTTGCGCAGCAGGGGGAGGCAGTACCTGGGACGTAGCGCGGCAGGGGGAGGCGGTACCTGGGACGTAGCGCGGCAGGGGGGTGCGGTTCCTGGGACGTAGCGCGGCAGGGGGGTGCGGTTCCTGGGACGCAGTGCGGCAGGGGAGGCGGTACCTGGGACGTAGTGCAGGAAGGGCACGGTGGAGGAATTGCACACGACGGCGTCCACCCATATCCACCACGCCGCACCGAACAGCGCGCCCGCCGCTAGCGGGCCGAACCGCCGCCAGTGCTCGTCGGATAGCGGCATGCTGGCCGCGGCTTTAAGAAATATGCGGCTTGAAGGGAAAAAACGACTGCTAAGAGACTTGCGACTTTAACGGTTTGACGGGATTTTCAGTGACACGAGGTGGTGCGTTGCTCAACAAGAGGTATGTGGCGAGATGACGAGCGGTACAAGATTGAACACGAAGTTGCAAGGAAGTAGGGAGTTAGCGCAAGGCGCAGGTGAGATAGAGAAGACGGATGGAGAGGCGGGTCGACGCAGAGACTGTTGTCTATGACTCTATCGAGGACGGAAGAACAGGAAAATTAAGGGTGGCCTAGGGAGGACTGTAAACACGGCGACGCAGAAAAGTGTAGGCAGGGCTGCTGCCACTTCTGTCCACTGAGACGGTGCAGAGGATTAAAAACTCGCTGAGAGCAGCACTCGACTTTGGAACAGTTACCTCTCCAAGAAGATTCCAACCATCAAGGGCTAACATGGTTTTAAATAAGTGCATCAAAGACTGTTCCCTGTACACCTTTTCTTAGCGTAGTTGTTATTTAGCCAGGTTAACGTTTGAACACAAGATGATCAGGTGGGCACATTCAGCAACCCGCTGCTTTCTTCTCTCCACCCAATTTACAGGCAATTCCTTAGCACCAGATACAGCTTCAGAGGCCTGAGAAACTGCAACTAATGTAACTGTTACAAAGAAAGCAGAAAAGGACTTCTGCCAGCCTGGAAATAGGGGCTGGAGCGAGGCAAGCAGAGGCACAGCGGCAGCAGGCCCCTGTGGGCCCAGCAGCAGTGTGGGGGGGCGTGCGAGAGTGAGGTGGATCGGCGAGTGAAGCACGGGTGCGTGTGTGACCATTTAAGCCATTTAAGCCTCCTCGTCGGCCTCGTTCTCGGCGATGTTGAAGTAGCGCAGCTCGTACACGTTGCGGTCCTTGTTGGACGCGATCACCCGCAGCCAATCACGCACGTTGTGCTTCTTCAGGTACTTCTTCGTCAGATACTTGAGGTACCTGCACGGAGGGTGATGTGGACGGGACGAGTGCGGAAGGGCAACGTGTGAAGCGGAGTGGACGAGAATGATTTAGCATTTCACATAAAGTGGCAAAGAGTGAACGCACTGACGAATCTAAGGTAACCAAAAGTGACCTCGTACGCTCGTGCTCATCCTGGGATCACTGGTCTTACGATGCTCCGTTCTACACCATCATGCATTCAGCTCCCTCCTACACAATTGGATACGCGTTCCCTCCTGTTCCAGCCGTTTCTTCGCAAACAACGGACGGTGGCAATACCGAGACTTACCAGCCTCTCGCGCAACTGCTCACCACTCAACCTACTCATAGGTAGATACCCCGCCCTGCCTCTCTAATCCCACCAATCGCACGTGTGCTACACCATGCACTCCAAGTCTCGAAGCTACCGTGCTTTGTCCGCCTAATGGCACTTCGACCAGACTTCACATGCGACGTTCAAGGCCATGCGATGCAGAAAGCTTGCGGAACGGGAACTAGCCAAAATGCAGCTGCTCCATTCCACACGGCCATGCGTTCATCTCCCTTCTACTCGAGTATCGCACTCCATCCCGTTCCAACCGTTGGTTCGCAATCAGTCGCAACCTGGTAATAACTGGAGAAGTATCAAGAGTGGACCTTCCAATCTCCCTGGCCCTCTCCCTGGCTCCCTCCCTGGCCCTGCTAATGAGTCAGCTGAAGGAGGCCTGTATTTCATCTTCGAAGTCATTCTGTTAAACCCTGACGTGTCTGGAAGTTGTCATCCCCGGCATGCTAAACGTGCGACTTGTAAAAGTGCGTGCGGTAGGAATGCAACTCACCCCCGGCGCATGAACTATCAGTAACCCGCGGCTTGTTGCGAGAGTCGAAAGGTGTCGGAGATGTCGTGCCGAGCCTACACGCGCTAACGCACGCAGTTGAATTGCAGCTATTGGATTCAGTGAGTAGCTTCGACCTGTTCCGCGTGAAACCCAAATGATCCTAAAGGACTGCTCTGCGAAGCGACGCTTTGAGGGAATGAGAAACGGTTTCCGGCATCAGAAAAAAACGGTTTCGTGAAGTCATACCCCAAGCTGATAGCGGCTCTGAACGCTCAACTCGATCTGCTCTATCAGTTGACCACCTTGTATGTTAGCGCATGAATACCCGTTACGGCTGCTGCAATCGCAAAGGTTACCCGCAACTGCGGAGCTAACGTTGCGCTACTGGACCAGTAACGCTAATCAGCGCCGGGCAATACGAAGCTCCTGTTCGTCATCCTTAATGAGGTTCCGGCTACATCGCCAACACGATGAGCTCCCGGAAAAGAGTGTCCGATTTTACGGACTACGCAATATTATCGACTATGAACCCGGAACATGGCCGAGCATAGGGTGTGCTGATGGATGGAAGAGTGGGGTCTGGGAGGGGGAATGTGTGTTAGGGTTTCCGTAACATCGAATGCAACAAGGGTCCTTCCTAAACGCGCAGACTGGTATGGCGCGACTTGTCAAAAAATTCAAATCGGAGTTAATGAGAATAACGTGAGCATAAACGCGAATCAGGCTGACGTGGAGTCTAAAACACGCACCTCTTGGTGAAAGGTCCATCAACGGTGACGTGGATCTTAGCCTTGTCCTTAGTGACCTTCACCGTGTCGCCCAGCACGCCCGCCTTGTTGTCGACCTTAATCCGGTCCTGAAGAAACTTCTCGAACGACGCGATCTCCATGATCTTGTCCTCCACCGGCTTCGTGCAGTCGATCACGAAGTTGTGCGGCTTCCTCTTTCCCTTGGACCCGGCCGCAGCCTTCTTGGCGGGAGGCGCCATTGCGAAAGTCTAGGGTGGAGTGAGGGGTGAGGGAAGACGGTCCTAGAGAGGAAGGAAAAGGAGGAAGAAAGAGGCTCGAGGGAGGAAATTAGGGCAATGGGTGGGAGTGGGAGGGCAGAGGGGAGGGGATTGGGGAAGGATGGAAATAGCACTGCGAATATAAAATTTGCGAACGGTTGTACAGGTTACTCATCTGATTTCGTGGCTCACGAAACTGTGGTAACAGACTGAACAGATTTTCAGTTGAGGTTTTCTTGCGAGCGCACATGATTGAAGCGGACCACTCCTATTTGTTTGAGTGGCTTACCACCACGGTTTGGGCACTTCGCCAGTTCGCAGCATCGCAGATTCACCATCCCATCGCACCCTCGACATTCCACCCTCGAGATTTCCACCCTTGGATTTTCCGTGTCCGAGCAAGCGCACTGACCAGCCATTGGCTAGTAGTGACTGTCCGCTCCCTGCTTGCCGCCTCCATCCTGTCAGTACCCGCGGCTCGCTGTGTACTTGAGATTCCTTAAGGCGATCACTTATCGGGTTGTAGATTAATTACGGCGATCAAGCGCCGCCGTTATTCAGTTTCCGGCGACCTCGAGTTCTAGATACACGAGTCAGCAGGATTCCATGGCAGCCATTGCGACAGGTCAGCTAGCACGCGATATCGCATCAACGGCTACTCTAACATCGCACTCGAATTCAGAGCCTAAGCGAGCTCCAATCGCAGCGTCACATACACCTGTATCTAAGGCCGTTGCACTCTCCGCGAGCTCGCGATACTCAGACAGATGTGTCGTCGCGACGCGACGCGGCGGTGACGACGGCGTGAGACGACATCGCCGCCGTGGCGCTACTAGGAGACATAGCTGTCGAGCATCAGTGGTGACGGAAGGTGCGGATGGGTTCTCAGACGCTCACATTTTCAATGCGAGTGCGTCGAACATCCTGTAGCGACCTAAGTGCAGTGACCGGTCGTTCGCGTACCGTCCGTTATCCCTTCAGTCCACTGCCCCTCCAGTCATCGCCATCGCATTCTCCTTCCGACATCATACCCGGTCCATCCCGGCTGCTCACGGCTGAGATCTAAGCTTCTCAGGATCGAATTAGGTGTTCTATCTATCATCGCCATCGCATTCTCCTTCCGCCATCATTGCGTTGTACTGCCCGTCCTCCGCACAGACCACGCCGCGTTCCTGCGCGACGTCGCGGCGATCGATCCTCCGCCGCTGCTGAGCGCGCTGATCCGCGTGCTCCAGGCGCAGGGTGAGCGAATGCGGGCAGCTATCGAATGACTGGATGGCTCATTGTCGCTTGGATCCGCGAATGACTGGATGACTCTTTTCCCGTTTCCGCTTGAAATTCATGCAATGCGGCTTTCAACTACGCAAGTTTAATCTCCACCTCGCTCGTCCTCCGTCGTCCCGTTTCCCTCCCCCATTCCCCGTCACGCCTCCCGCGAACCTAATGCGCAGGCGAGCAGCCCGTGTCGCCCCCCGATCGCCGGGGCATGGTACCGCTGGCCGTCCCACTCACGCGAAACCCAGCCACTGGTGAGCTCTGGGCGCCTTGCGGCCCTTGCAGTTCGCAGAACAGGGAAAGCCTGAACGTGGTCCCCTCGTGCTCACCCCGTGATGTCTGATCGTCCCCACTGTGCATGCAGCCGCCATCCGCCATGAGCGACCCTCCGTCGTGCCCACCCCCGCCTCCCCCCCTTCCCCCCACCCGATGCGCGCCCCCAGGCACCGTGACGGCGCTGCTCCGCTGGCCCACCGCTCCCCCGGGGTAAGTGCGCTCGCCCCCCTGGCTCGGCGCGCTGCTCGTCAGTATCAGTGCTGCGTTTCGTTTCTGTGATTCGTCTCCCTCCCTCCTTTTCCTCCAAATTTGTTTCGAGTGGACGCAATGCTGACTCCCCCTGTGCTCTGTCCACGTCAGCATGCAGATGCCCGTTATCCGCGTGGGGGAAGGAGGCGGCTGCGTCTTGGTTGCACGATCGGTTAGTAGCCACGGCTGGGCATGGCGTGGCATGGCAGGATTCAATGATGGGCATGACATGGCGTGGCATGGCGTGTTGGAAGGGGTTCCAGGAGTATCAGCAATGTGGTTGAAGGGTCTCATCACTCCCTCCCCATACACCCACCCCATGTCTGCCGCCATGTTTTTCCCACTTCCTCCCGCCCCTCCCCAACCCATCTACACCCATCCCCCACAGGCGGACGAGTACATTCAGAGGGCGCTCGTGGAGGAGGACGTGGGGGGGCGGGAGGGCAGCGCGGAGGGGGACTCGGGGAGGGTGGGGGAAGCGGCGGGGGAGGAGGGGCGCAGGCTGTATTCGCGTGGGGACTTTGCAGCGGCCAAGGCCAAGTCCCTTGACGCCTATCTGACCACCAAGGTATGTGAGTTGCCTTTTGAAACGTCTCAAAAGACTTTGCTGCGGCCAAGGCCAAGTCCCTTGACGCCTATCTGACCACCAAGGTAAGCGAGCAACATTCTTGTATCGTTGTGCATTCCTCACTCTCCCCTTCCGTTGCTCGCCCCTTCTCTCTCCCTGCTTTCCCACCTGGCCTTTTGTCCAGGATTTGCCACCGCCTAAGTTCGAACCTTTCTGAAGTTCTCACTCTCCCCAATCTCCTCCCCCCTTCCATCCCCTCCTCTCTCACCCCCTCCACCTCCCCCCTTTTCCCCTTTCCCTCGCTAGCGGTGCTGGCAGGTGGGCAAGTTCCCAGACGTCCTTGAGAGGCTGGCTGTGCGGCACCTGGAGCTCCTTCATTGCAAACCTCATCCCCCTTCCCCTCCCCCCCGTCTCCACTGGTGCTGGCAGGTGGGCATGTTCCCGGACGTCCTTGAGAGGCTTGCTCTGCGGCACCTGGAGCAGGGCGACCAGGTGTCAGCGCTGGTGGCGGGGGAGTTCTATGCGCGCAAGCACTTCCCAGGCTTCGCACATCCCTTCACATTCAACGCACAGCTGCTGCTCAGGTGAGGGACCCCACCACACTGCTGCGTCTTTCTAGCTGCCAGGGGGACCAGAGGGAGGAATTTTGGGGGAAAGACTCTGTGGCTGGAGTGGGAAACGTTAAGTGGGAGGGGGCTGAGGGCGCTTTACATATATTGGTATGCCTGAACAATGTCCTAACCACATAAAGCATTGGTCCCTGCTCAACCGTCCCCTCCTTTCATCCCAAACAGCTCCTTGCGCTTTTGTCTCCCTCCTTCCCTCCTTCCCTCCTTCCCCCCGTCCCTCCGTCCCTCCTCCCCTTACTCTCCATTGTCCCTCTTTTCAAACGCTCAGAGTGGGGAGGCCAACAGAGGCGAGGGATGCGGCGCGGATCGCTCTCAAGTCGCCCTGGTGGACCCTGGGGGCGTCGTACCAGGTAGGCGCAGCAGACGAGCCTGGCAGCACTCTGTTGTGTGGGCGGCGTGGAAGCAGAAGGTCTCTGGTGTCTCCCCTGTTCTTCTTTGTCCAATAGAGTGTCTTTGATCTGAGTGTGCTCAGTTGATGTGCCATGTGCATGTGCCATGTGTGTGTGTGCCGTGTGCATGTGCCGTGTGCGAGCAGGAGGTGGCGGAGCTGGCGGGGTACGGGGACTCGCAACTGGAGTATGCGTTGGAGCGGCTGACAGAGGAGGGCAGGAAGGAGGATGTCAACAAGGGCAAGGCGGAGGCGCAGGTCAGGGAGAGAGATGCGTGAGAGATGCGTGAGCCATTTGTGGTAATGTCAATAGATTAGGCGAAAGGGCATAGTACCGTTGAACGTTCGCAGGATTTTTCAGAGGCTAATGATTGTGTCCCATCAATCCCTCTGTCTTGGGCATCCATATGACTGCAGGTGGCATTGGACCAGGCAGCCTTTCTGCTGGACGTGGCAGCAGCAGAGGGCACGTGGGATGAGACGCGTGAGCAGCTGGCAGGGCTGTACCGGGAAGCAGGGCTGGAGGAGATGGCCTCGTTTGTCCTCGCTGGACCGCCAACCTCAACATAGGCTGCAAGAAATGGGCACCGGCACGCATGGAGGGAGAGAGAACGCGAGCAAGCAGCCCGGTCAAATCAAATGCCGAGAAGCACGTGTTCTTTACGCGAGAAGGGCAGCACTATTCTCTACATGAGCAGTTTAATCAAGGCCAATATTGGTGGCTGAGCAGCGATTGATTTATCGTGCTCCATGTTCCTGCAGAACTCTTAGGTACCGTACTGCTGCCAGCTGTGAGATTCTGGGGGTTACCGTATTTGATGGTGTACGCTGGTCCATGGTCCATCCAACATGTGCTCTTTCCGTACCAGTCAGCTCTGGTAGCAACAAACGTCATTGTCAACCCACGCAACAATAATTCTCCACACGCCCTTTTCTTGCCTCAATGTTTTTACAGCTGCTTGGTCACACATACGGTACTACCTAGTTGCAAATGAGAAACAAAGCATACTTTGTTAGGAAATGGTGCTAGTGTTTCCCAACCGCTCACTGTGTATGTCCACCTGCTTCCCAAACCTGGTGGGTAAGGTTTCTGTTGTGCACCTGCGTCCCAAGCCTGGTGGGTAAGGTTTCTGTTGTGCACCTGCATCCCAAGCCTGGTGGGTAAGGTTTCTGTTGTGCACCTGCAAGCTCCCCAAGCCTGGTTGTGCGGAACATGGAGTTAAGGTTGGTCCCGTGTGTAGCCTGTAGGCATGAGGTCTGGTTGGTGACTGGTTTGTGGCAGCTGCAATTGCAGTCATGGGCCATTATGGTGCGTGTATTTTGAAACCACAACTAAGGCCCACTGCCAGTGTACAGATGCCATGCTGAAGCTTGAGGTAAGGAGAATGCAAGGATCTAGGATAGGCTGTTTGGCTGGAGTGTTGGTTTTATTGATGGGTAGGCTGGTTTACAGATGGCTTGTTGGCTGGTTAGCAGGTTAACTGGTTGGCTGCTTTGCTGCTTTGCTACGTGACATGACATCTGACCATTTCTGCACTGCAGTTCCTGCTCAATCTGCAACCCAGCTTCCTCCTGTCAGTCCCTGCATTTACACTTGACATGACATCTGACCATTTACGCAAGAGGGGTTTGCTTGTCTCATGGCTTCCTGGTGGTGGCATTTTCTGTACATGCATGCACGCTGCATGCACCGTAGGGCCAGTGCCCTGCATTTCCACGCTCTCATCCCTGCACAGGGTGCCTGACATGGCGCAGCACCTGAAGGAGGACACTCCGTCCTGCTTGGGTGTTTGTGCCCAGGCAACTTCCAGGCTGCCCAACCCACCCCACCCACCTATTCCACAACATGCAGGCCCATCCCATCCCATCCCATCCCAGCACAGCACAACACACCTAAACAAACATGTAAAAATTTTTAAGTTAAAAAAAATTGAAGATTGTGATTAGACTAGTAGAAGAGTTTGCTGTAAAGGAGACAAACTCCTTGACATTCCGGCAGGCCTCTCGGACCTGCCACCTAGTCTCATTTGCATTTTCTAGATCTTGATTTGCTCACCACCAGCACACTCTCTAAACCCTTATACCTCCTATGCCTAGGACTAGGCATAGGAGCACTCTTATTTCTGACGTTTTTAACATAAGGCTTTCTGCTATGGCGAGTGGCTTCGTTTCTGCTGCAGCGGGTGTCAGATGATTATATTACTGATGCATATATTTAGGCTGTAGTGGGGTAGCCCATAGGGGGTACAACCCAATTAGGGTTGGTACTTGTACTTGTTTCATTTCATAGTGCACTCATTCCTCGCCTCTATCTCAACATGGTATCGAGCAGGTTCCCTAGTGGGAACTGTTCCTAGGGCCCACCTACTATTCCGTCCTGCCCGGAGCGCGCTCTGCCCTAGCCCGAGTCGCGCTGGGCCTTTTTTTTTTTCCTTTGGCGGCCCGATCGCGTCGAGCCGCCCGCGATTTTTTTTTTGGCGCGCCACCTACGCGGCCTCGTCGCGCCGCCCCTAGACGGCCGCGCCGCCTCGCGCGTACCGCCCTCCAGTCGCGCGCCGCCCCCTCTGACCCTCGCGACGCCGGCGCCGTCTCTGACGGCCCCGCGATCGCCTGCGACGGCCCCGCCGTCCCCTCTACCGGCCCCTCCACTGCACTTGACGGCCTCGCCGTCCCCTCTGTCGGCCCCGCCGCTGCACTTGACGGCCCCGCTGTCCCCTCTGCCGGCCCCGCCGCTGCTTCAGACGGCCCTGCCGCTGCACCTGACGGCCCCGCCGTCCCCTCTGACGGCCCCGCCGCTGCACCTAACGGCCCCGCCGTCCCCTCTGACGGCCCCGCCACTGCACCTACCGGCCCCGCCGCTACCCCTGACAGCCCCGCTGCTGCATCTGCCGACCCCGCCGCCTCATCTGCAGGCCCCGCCGTCTCACCTGCCGGCCCCCGCTGCTGTACCTGACGGCCCCGCCGCTTCACCTACCGGCCCCGCCACTACCCCTAACGGCCCCGCAGCTGCATCTCCCGGCCCCGCCGCCCCAGCAACTGCGCCGCCCCAGCAGCCGAGCTGCCCCAGCAGCCGAGCCGCCCCAGCAGCCGAGCCGCCCCAGCAGCCAAGCCGCCCGAGCCGCCCGAGTCGCCGAGCCGCCCGAGCCGCCCAGCAGGCGAGCCGCCGAGCCGCCCGAGCCGCCCGAGCCGCCCGAGCCGCCCGAGCCGCCCGAGCCGTCTGCACTGCCCTGTCTGGTGAGCACTGGGCTTTACTCTGCGCACTGCCCTCACCCTACTGCTGTCATGGCTACCCCCAGTGTCCTCACCTTCGACGCTGAGGGCAGAGCCATCGACTTTGACGTGTGGGTAGACGACTTGCTGCTTTTCCTACAGTGCGACAGAGCTGACGGCCTCTCTCTCTTTGATCTCACTTCTGGTGCCTCTCCCGCCCCTGCTGCTACTGAGGATGCCACTGTTCGCTCACAGTGGGCCACACGCGATGCTGCTGCACGTCTTGCTGTGCGTCGCCACCTCCCTCCCTCTGAGCGTGCACACTTTGGGTCGTACAAGAGTGCTCAGACCTTGTACGACGCCGTTATTGCACGCTACTCCACCCCTGCCACTGCTGCACTGAGCCGCCTCATGCTACCGTACCTCTTTCCCGACCTTGCTTCTTTTGCCACAGTCGCCGACCTCATTACCCACCTGCGCACTAGTGACGCTCGCTTCCGCGCTGCGCTTCTTGCTGAGTTCTGCGCCAAGAACCCCCCCCCCAGTACTTCACTCTCTACTACATTGTCGCCCGCCTCCCTGACTCCCTTCGCGGAGTCAGGGACGACTTACTCTCAGTCTGCCCCACCACTCTCACTGTTGACCTCCTCGAGAAGTCCCTCCTAGCAGCCGAGAAGAGCATTCTCGCTGTAGGGGCCTCTCGTGGTGACCCGCGCACCCCCATCTTTGAGGGGTGTTCCCCCTCCCCCCTCCTGCCCTCTGTCGCCTCTACTGCTACGGCCGACCTAGTTGGTTTTGAGTCGGTCGGTGCGGCGTCTGCCCCCACTGGGAGACGTCGCTCTGGCAAGGGCAAGGGGGGCAGGAGCGGTGGTGGCGGCGGCGGGGGCGGTGGAGGCGGCGGTGGAGGCAGCGGAGGAGGTGGGGGTGGTAGCGGGAGTGGTGGCGGGAGTGGAGGTGTCAGCGGCGGCAGTGGAGGCGGGGGTGGCAGCGGCGGTGGTGGTGGGAGTGGAGGCGGAGGCGGCGGTGGCGGCAGCGACGGTGGGAGTGGCGGTCGCAGCGGAGGTGGTGGCGGCGGCGGCGGAGGAGGCGGCGGAGGAGGTCGTGGCTCGTCGCAGAGGAGTGGCTCCGGTGGCGGTCAGCGCCAGCAGCAGCGGCAGCAGCGTGGTCAGGAGACCCTCTCCCCGCAGCAGCTCCGTGAGTGGTACGCTGCACGTCAGAGGGGTGGGGGTACTGGTCCGTGCACCTACGTCTTGCGCACTGGCGACCGTGCGGGTGAGCCGTGTGGTGGTCCACACTCCGCCCAGCGCTGCTTCGGCCGCTTGACTGACGCTTGGTGCCGCCAGTTTCCTGACGCCTCTGAGATCCCTCGCTGGGACCAGCTGTCTAGGGCAGGAGTAGCTATCTTTGATCTTGACTTTGATGCTATTCTTGCTGCCATGTATGCTGTGACTATTAGTGAGGAGGGTGACTGTTACCGGTGTTTCCCGCCCGACCCGGGCATTGGTACTGCGGCTCTAGGTGCTGTTGAGGCTGCTGCTCCAGGTGCTGGTGAGGCTGTCGCTCTAGGTGCCAGTGAGTCTGTGTCCTCAGGTGCTGGTGAGTCTGCTCGCTCAGGTACTGCGTCGGCTCCGCCCTCTCTCACCTTCACTCTTGACTCAAGGGCGTCTCGCTCCTTCTTTCGAGACCGCACCACACTCACGCCGCTTAGTCGGCCAGTGGCGGTCTCCCTGGCGGACCCCTCTGGGGGTCCTGTTCTGGCTCGCTACTCCACTGTCCTGCCGTGCCCTGCGGTCCCGTCTGGCGCCCTGTCCGGTCTCTACCTCCCCTCGTTCTCTACGAACTTGGTGGTGGGTGCTGACCTACAGGATGCAGGGGTCGACCAGTTCACCCTTGCACGCCGACGGGTCACCCACTGCACGGACGCGGACACGGGTCGACACTTGACCACGTTCACACGTGGGCCGGGGTCGAGCCTGTACACACTCACTGTTCCGTCTCCTCCTCCTGCGTCTGGTCAGGTAGCTGCGTCGGGTCAGGTGTTTGCTGCAGCGTCCAGGTCTGGTCCTGAGTCTGCCCCCTGCTCGTGTCGCCTCCTGTCCCACGAGACCCTCCTGTGGCACCACAGGATGGGTCACCCCTCCCTGCCTCGTCTCCGGGGCATGGCCTCTCGCCTTCTTGTCTCTGGCCTTCCCCGGTCCCTCCCTCCCCTTCCTTCGGGGCCTGGCCCTCCCTGTGTCCCCTGTGTCGAGGGTCGCCTGCGGGCTACCCCTCACTCCTCCCCGTTTCCTCCGACGGAGGCCCCGATGCAGACGCTTCACATGGACGTGTGGGGCCCAGCCCGCGTCCGTGGACAGGGTCAC